TATATATATAATTTACGTTAGAGGTCTGTTATAAGCACTTAACACACAACTATATCATGTAAATTTTACATTGTCTTTTTGAATCGGTTTCATTCCTTAATATTCATTTGCTATTTTGCTAATCTTGAACAAATTGTTGAATTCACTCGTCATGCTTATTGTTAACTGCTATTCCAATCTATATACATTGCAGATGTGAATTCACTGATGATGAATATATAACTTAACAGTGTTAACAGCTACCTTGATTTATATTATGCAATTACTTGTTTCCAGCCGTACGTACCTATTGTGTAATAGAGTGTATCTGGCGGTAATTTGAATCTGTTCAACCATGAAGCCAATGGTTATGACGCTCGCATTGACAGCGCGAGGACGAATCTCACTACACAATTTCTTTATTCTTTGAGAGCTATGCTGCACGATGTATTATTATGTCCTTTATTCGAACGGTTTATGGACAAAACGGAAATAAACCAAAACGGCAATAGGCCTAAATTGTCATAGAAATAAAAAACGTGAAAGAACAACGACGACAATAACAATAAGAATAATAATAATACTGTAATAATAGGCCTAATAATAATTATAATAATAATACCAACAATAATAACAATATAACGATTGTGGAAACACAATATAAAAGCAGTAAACATTTAAATAAGTAAAACTTAAAGATACAGACCGAATGAGGCTAAGCAATTTATGTCACAAAAGTAAAAACGCGAAAAAAATAAACCAATTATTAACATGAAAGTGTACAAGGATTAACAGTAAAAATGAGGCTAAATTGTAATAGAAGTAAAAAACCCGAAAGAACAATAATAATTATAAATAAATAAATAAATAAATAACAATTCTTCAAAGAAAATTTAAAAATTGTAAACCGCAGCCCGCGCTAGCTAGTCATAGCATTGTACTTGTCATTGCCGTTTTAGTCTCTTGTCGTTTTGACCTTTCTTTCTTATATATATGAAGATTTTATGTCAAGCGTTGACAAAAACTACAGGAGTAGCCGAAATATTCGCCCAATAAATTTTATTGTTTCTAACGTCAACATCTTGTATTTGAGTTTTATTAGGGTTATAGTCCACATTTTGTACCTTGATAAAGACCTAATGATAGGTCGAAATATTGGTTTTCTCCAATAAAGTCTATACAATGTATTCTTTTCCTATTATTTCGACGAACCTTTTATTTAAAAACATTTAACTGTTGATTAAAAAGATAAAAATAATTTATAAATAAACCACAGGTTGAAACACGGCCAGTTTTGGAGATTTACTTGTTTTTTTACTATGTCAGTGTTAAAATAATTGCCGATTTATAATTGTATCAATTAAATTTGAATTTTGTTTTACCACCAGGTACTACGTCATTAACGACACAGAGTGCAACCAGTAAACAGAGTAAGATTCGTGTTTTTATGTTCTAATTCACCTAAACTTGTTACTGTATTGAATTATATAATAAAGTAATATTGAAAATTGAAAATTGGCCCATGTCATCTCTAGTCACGCCCCTGGTCAATATGTATTTATATATATCATGACAAATTTTTAATAAATAAATAAATAAATATTTCATTGTATAAATTTACCACCAGTTACTACTGCATTAACGACACAGTTTTCAACATTGGACACCACAACAAGTGCAACAAGTAAGCAAAGTAAGAGTCATGTTTTTTATGTTCTAATTCACATAAACTTGTTACTGTGCTTATATATATAATAAAAATTCAATTGAAAATATGTTTCATTGTATCAATTAAATTTTGCCATCAGTAACTACAGCATTAACGACACAGTTTTCAACATTGGACACCACAAAAAGTGCAACCAGTAAACAAAGTAAGTGCACACGTCGTTAATGCCCTACTGTAATTCACTTCAACATTAAACGAGTTTACTTGTTTAATGTTAATTACTTTTCTAATTAATATTACATTAGTAAATTCAACAGCAAATGTATTTAATTGTATCAATTCAATTGAAATTTCTTTTTTTACCACCTGGTACTACAGCAGCATTAACGACACAGTTTTCAACATTGGACACCACAACAAGTACAACAAGTAAGCCAAGTAAGAGTCATGTTTTTTATGTTGTAATTCACTTAAACTTGTTACTGTGCTTATATATATATATAATAAAAATTCAATTGAAAATATGTTTCATTGTATCAATTAAATTTTGCCATCAGTAACTACAGCATTAACGACACAGTTTTCAACATTGGACACCACAAAAAGTGCAACCAGTAAACAAAGTAAGTGCACACGTCGTTAATGCCCTACTGTAATTCACTTCAACACTAAACGAGTTTACTTGTTTAATGTTAATTACTTTTACATTAGTAAATTCAACAGCAAATGTATTTAATTGTATCAATTCGATTGAAATTTCTTTTTTTACCACCAGGTACTACAGCAGCATTAACGACACAGTTTTCAACATTGGACACCACAACAAGTACAACAAGTAAGCAAAGTAAGAGTCATGTTTTTTTATGTTCTAATTCACTTAAACTTGTTACTGTGCTGATTTATATAACAAAAATTCAATTGAAAACATATTTCATTGTATCAATTAAATTTTACCATCAGTTACTACAGCATTAACGACACAGTTTTCCACCTTGGATAACACAATAAGTGCAACCAGTAAACAGAATAAGTGCACATGTTGTTAATGCCCTACTATAATCATTTTAACATTAAACGAGTTAATGTTCTAATATCATATTAGTAAATTAAAAAAGAAAATGTATTACAGACACTATCCCAAACTGAAAGCACTATATATTTTTATCATAGTTATTATTATTATTACTGTATTGTTTTTGTATTGTGTTTTAGAAGTAATAATAAAAACTAATTTAACATCTTTATTGATTATTTCTTACTATTTATTTTTTTAATGTAAAAACCACATTATTCCATACTTACTTTTAATTATTAAAATTTGTGTATTTTTAATTTCTAAAATTAGAGTTGCTGCAATTTTTTGGTATACAAGTGCTTGGTAAAGCAGGGGTCAAAAGTTGCTTACCTCCAAACCATTTGCAAGATTTGAGTCTAGATGTTATAAATACCAGAAGCATATTTATGTGTTGCAAACTGTGCATGTCACAAAGGCAGTGTAACGCTATTCAGATTCAGTATCAGTCAAAATACTTATTGAATTGTTACATTCTTATACATGCTGGAGATTCTGAGCAGTATCAACAACATCATTTGCCATGTGCTGTGTTCAATTTAAAACAAATTTAAAGTTTCCAATAAACATGGAGACAGAAAATTACTCATGCCAAACTAGGCTAAATTAAAGGATTAAAGTTGTTATAATAGTAACTAAGTCAGTGGTGACATCATAATTTTCATTTGCAAGGGGAAGGCACCAATTTGATATATTGCCTGCTGTTTTGTGCGTCCGTCTTGTTGGTTGTTTTACATTGTGATGAATATTTCCGTTGCTAGGCCAGAGCTTTGAATGCACACAGCGAACCCAACAAATCAGTGGGTGAGTTTTAACATACAAGGAATTTGTACATTGTAAATTGTAAATATGTATACCATTATGTACACTGATATAATATAGGCATGTTTACTAATATACATCCACATGAATGCTGTTTGATGTAAATAACAATTTTATTCAAACATCGCTATGGAATTTATATATTTGATTAACATTGCAAATGGCATTATAACTGTTATGATATAAGTATGTTCATATATATGTGCATACTATTTAATATGACAAGAAAGGGTACTTCTCTTCTGCTTTCAATACTATTCTTCCACATTTATTCCTCAGTAAACTATCCACTTTTGGTGTATCATGCTGGATTGGTGAATTCTTTACAAATAGGCAATTACTACCCATACCAGATCCAGAATGACAAAATAAAGGGGGCCCAGAGAGGGAGTTTCCCACCTCAGCCCCACATGGTAGGGGCTGAAGTAAGAACATTTATGACTATTACACCTAGGTGGCTGGAACTGGCACACTCAGACCTACATTTGATTATAATTTTCCATTTTTTCCTTTTTTTTAAAAAACAATTTAGGGGGCCCGGGCCGCCTCCCGTTGAATTCACCAATACAAGTACATACAAAGACTTTTGTATTAAATTATTATGCGGATGATACCGTTATTACTGGACACATCGCACCGCAGTCAATTTTGATTCATGGTGTACTGAAAATCACTTGCTTCTTAAATGCTGCTAACCTAAAGAAATGGTTTTTAATTTCAGAAAGGGAGTCTATTCTACCAGCATTAACTAAAGCAATTTAGAGTCAGTGAAAAAATGTTAGTGTTATTTTTCACTGGTTGTTATCTTATGTATAAATTTTGGTGTTATCTTAAGTGTTTTAATGTATAATTGTATTGTCTGGTTCAGCAGTTTGACAGAACAAAAGAAAAGTAAAATCAGGAAATCCATAGATCATGCAGGTTTTGTTATGGGACCAGTGATGCTAATGTAATGTGCATTGAAAATGCTGGATAAAATTGTAAAAGACATAAACTGTACACTGTAACATAATTACTCAGCAGGTGTGTAAGGCTTAAGCCAATATCATGTCATAATGCTACAGAGAATCATTTCTACCAAATGTAATCCATATATTTTATACCATATTAAATAGGCAACTATTCATTCAGCACTAAGGGATCTTAATTTGCATTCATATTGTCTGTTCATATATATCATAACTTATCATGTACCTTGAAACTTGTAATTGAATTCCAACTC